TTCTTTCTTTCCTCCCTTCCTCCCTCCCTCCCTCCCTTCTTTCCTGCACCCCTAGAGCCGCTACTTAGGTTCCCCCTCATTGGAACAGGCATGGCCACACTCCTGGAAAGATTGAAGTCTAATATCAAATATTACGAATCATAATTACAATAATAATAATAACTTTATTGAGAGTGTATATGGATTTAGCTTCAAAAACTGATTGAGGACACTAACTAAAACTAAATGAAATGAATTGAAATATATTCATTATAGATAAAATTCTATACGATATATTTGTTTTGATCAGATTTGTATATTTTGGAGGAAACATTGCTGATAAAGTTGATATTCAACTGAACAAGACCTTGACCTATCATGGAGTATCTGAGTTAATGTCAAACACCAATTATACCAAAATACTGTCCAACCAGTAAGTATATACAGTACTCCTTTAGTTACCATCTTCAGTGCCCGTGCTAACCGGCTGCCTTATCAATTGGGCCGCAAGGCCTGTAAGGCATCAAGCCGTCCACCCAGGAGTGGTAAACGCATTAGATTTACAAGTATCTCAAGACGTGTGTAGAACTGGTATTAATATTAGACATGTAAACAGGGCAAGTTGACCCAGAGTCCAGAACTGGACTCACTTTTCTCACTAACTGATTCATTTATATCTCAAAAATAAGAGGAAATGCTGCACTCGCACAAAGAATTTCCACCACTCAGTTCGTCTCTGCCGTCCGTGTGYACACCGATAAAAGTGGTCCAGCTCTGGACTAGCGTAATGAGACGACMCGGAACTGAATAACAAAATAAATGCAAAACAAAAAACAAAACAAAARCATAGTCACTCACTCATTTCTTTGGTTTATTTTTACAGTTATAATATACGAATAAGAAAAGCCAACACCTCAGATTTACTTTTGAAGGTAAGATCGATAATTGTATAGGCATGGGTTTCCTGTGGTGAGAAAAGAACGTACCACAGGGAGCCCACTTTAAGAGTTAGGAGAAACAAAATTAATTATTTGCTCTTTGCCTTAGAAACAATTGTACTTTGGTAATGGAGGAGTTTTTACTGTAGTTGTACGAGAAGATCCCAAGAAGCCAGGAAAGGTAATT